TGTAATGATGGTTTATTCTTGCTAATGATTTCAATTTAAGTATGATATGTGAATAGAATAGGAAGATGATGATATGATGAATATGATGGCATGTAATGAGTATGTTGAATTGTGAGATCTTGATAGGGGAATGATCATTCAAGGATGAATATGATTCTCTTGTGTGACTTATTATGATATAACTATGATGTGATGATCACACTAATGAAGTGTTGTAATGAAAGGAATTTCTCATTCTATACCTATAGAGCTATGATCATGATTATACAAGGGTTATTCCCTAAGGCCTATATTGTTAACTAATGTTCAAGGATGACTAAATGACATTTCAAAAAGGGACTTTAGCTTAGCACCGAGCAAACTAGATATAAGAGGTGTCCTTTCCCAATGAGGGAAGGTAGGTTCACAATGGTTGTCATGGGATGGAAGCGATAATGCAAATGCGCATAAAGAGGGTTTCTAATACATATATCCTAGTTCCTTAACTATGTTCCCCCACGGCAAAACTAGCTAGTGGATCTACCTAGGACGCTATGTTCATGTTTGGTTCTACCTTTGCAAGTAGAGCACCTTTTTTTGGTGTAGGGTTTCATGACAACGGATTCCATGTTTAGCTCACATGGTCTATTGTCGGTTAAGGCGATTGTTCCAGAAAGTAAAATGAATGAGTGAAATTAATAAAACAAACACTAACTTGGGTGACTTAAGGGGTTCTACTTAGTATATGTAGGAGTATGGGACTTTACCTGTACATTGCGCAAGTTGACCTTTAGGGGAGTCCTAGGAGGATGATCTTATGTACTTATGTTATGAAAGAAATGCATATGTTGACTTTATATGATGTTGATATTATATGACATTGACTTCATTTGATGAACATGATATTGATCTAAGTTGCTATATATGATGATGAGTATGCATGATATGATGTTATATGAAATATAGACATTGCTTATGGTTCTTTTCTAGTTTACTTGATTATGTAGGGTTATGTGGCTTCACATGAGCATTGCACTTGTAGTCTTAGGAGGGGATTGTGAGTAAGGGTCTTGTATGCTTTGATTTCATGAACTCTATGATATGAGATATTGATATGACTTCATGATGATGTTGGTGTTATGTTGGATATGAACATGTCTTGATGTTATTGTGATTATTGACTTGTATATGCTCTTGTATGTGCATAAAGGCTTTCAAAGTGACTTAGCATGGTTTTGAACAAAATGTCCCTTTAATAATGATTTCAATAGTTTTACTTGCATATGTTTCCATACTTAGTACATGTGGTTTGTACTAACCCATATTCTTTATATTTCTACAATTATGTAGGTTCGGGCCTTTGAAGGTTTCAAGGCCACTTTGAAGGAAGACTTGGAACTTTTTCCAAGTTATTGATGAGTCCTCAAGTCCGAGAAAAATGCCATTTTCTACTCTAGATATGATATTGACTATCTCTAAGACAATTGTTCTTTTCTTATCTTTGAGACTTTGTTGTAATAATATATGTGGCATATTATAATAGTGTAAGGGCTATGCTCGAATCTTATACTTCTACATAGATGGTTTATGTGTGAGACAAATATTAGACTACTACATATGAATTGACTATGTTGCTAATTGAGAAGTCTATGTACACTTCATAAATGAGAAGTCTATGTAAACTTCATATATGATAACGAGAAGTCTAGATATACTTCACTATGTAGAAGTTCTAATTTTTTGTATTTCCTCTACCTATGATGCAATGATGTATGCTAACTCCTAGTCTAAGTCCTCATCAAGGAAGAGGATGCCGGTTATGTCTAGGGGGTGCTCCTCGTCGTGACAATAAGTGGGTTAAAAGACTAGTTTGGCCTTCCTTAAATCGGGATTAGTGTATTCTTCAATCCAACAACCCAACTTTCGATAGACATATCTCCCTCATACGATATAGAAAATGCACATACTCGGCGGCGTTGGAAAGATCTCTTAAAGGGTTTTCTAACCATATCAAGAAATACCTCTTACTCATCTTGAGCTAGAAGTTTTGGCCGTTTGAAAATGACCAAAATTCAATTTCTTAACTCAGGAAATTTTTCCAGATTTCTCCCTTTCTTTTAAAAAGTGTTTGTTTTAGTTTGGAATAATGTACAAGTAACCCCTCAACCTATGCCCGAAATCCCAGAGACACACTTATACTATACTAAGGTTCTATTACCCCCCTGAACTTATTTTATAAATAATTTTCTACCCCTTTTTAGCCTACGTGACACTCTTTGAAAAAAAAGTCAACCATCGTTAGGCCCACAAGATAGTGCCACCTAGGTCGAAAAGTGGTAAAATATTATTAATAAAATAAGTTCAAGGGGGTAATAGGACGTTAGTATAGTATAAGTGTGTCTCTTAGATTTCGGGCATAGGTTGAGGGGGTTCTTGGGCATTATCCCTTTTAGTTTCTTAGCTATTTCGGGTTAAGAGATGTTACAATATATCCCCCTTGAGAACATTTGTCCTCGAATGAGATTTTGTTTACTAAGCTAAGAATAGTAACCTCAAATTTAACATTCAATAATCAAAATCAACTAATAAAGTGCGTACATATAGTTTATAAAGTACTAAAGATAGAATAAGTACTTTGATCTTCATTCTCTCCGGATTCAAAGAGATGTGCTTATTTTTTCTTTATAAACACTTCAGCTTCCCAAGTTGGTTCATCAAAAAAATGGTTCCTCCTAAGTACATTGACTGATGCTACCTCCCTTGTTCTCAACTTGCAAACTTGGCGATCTAAAATCTGAACCCGAATCTGTTCATAGGATAAATTATCCTTAATTCCAACATTTTCCATTGGTACAATCAATGAAGGATCACCCATGCACTTCTTCAACATGGAGATATGAAATACTGATGAACCGCTTCTAACTCTTTAGGTAGATCCAGATCATAAGCTACATTGCCCATCCTCTTTGATATTCTATAAGGACCAATATACCGAGCATTCAATTTTTCCTTCTTACCAAATCTCATAACACCCTTCAGAGGTGATGCTTTCAGGTATACCCAATCATCCACTTCAAACTTCAATAGCCTTCTTGTAACATATGTGTAGAACTTCTAAGGACTCTATGCCATCTTCAATCTCTCTTGAATAATCTTCACCTTCTCCATGTCTTGGTGAACAAGATCTGGTCCTATAAAACCTGCTTCACTAACTTTGAACCACCCAATAGGAGATCTACATCTTCATTCTTCTCTCATAAATAACTTCACATGGAGCCATTTGGATCCTCGAATGGTAGTTGTTGTTGTACGAGAACTCAATGAGAGGTAGGTGATCATTCCTATTCCCCTTGAAATCGATCACAGAATCCCTTAACATATCTTCTAAGGTTTAGATAGTACACTCCTCTTTCCCATCCTTCTGAGGATGAAAAAAAGTGTTTAAGTTCACCATTGAACCCAAACCTTTTTGAAAAGACTTCCAAAACTATTTAGTAAATTGTGCACCTCTATTTGAAATGATTGACAATGGGACTCCATTAAATTTCACCACCTCCTGAATGTAAAACTTTGCATAATCTTCTGCCAAATGAGCTATCTTTATCGGCAAAAAGTTTGCTGATTTTGTTATTCTATTGACAATCACCTAAATTGAATCATGCTGTTCGTGAGATCTTGGCAAGCTTGTGATGAGGTCCATATTAATCATCTTTCACTAACATTCTGGAAGTTCTATATTCTGAGATAACCCTCCAGGCCTTTGGTGTTCTACTTTCACTTGTTGGCAATTTGGGCACTTGGCAGCAAACTCAGCAATGTCCTTCTTCATACCTTCCCACCAATATAACTCTCTCAAATTGTAGTACGTCTTTATGGAACCCGGATGAATGGAATATCCGAAGCTATGAGCTTCCTCCATGATTCTCTCTAGGAGTTCATCCACGCTAGGTACACAAAATCTACATTGACACTTCAGGATACCATCTCCCCTTTGTTCAAAAGCTAACACTCTTTGATTATGAACATTTTCTTCAAATCAAGCAAAATGGGGTCTTGGTCTTTCTTTTCTTTCACCTTTGACACTAGTGATGATTTAGCTTATTTGTCACCACTATCCCTCCTTCTGCGAAATCCATAAGTATGAATCCCAGGCCTGCAAGTCTGTGCACATCTGTGGATAAGTCCCTTTTTTCTTCTTTAGCATGGGTAGTAATCCCCATGGATAACTAGGTTAAAACATCAACAACCACATTAGCCTTACCTGGGTGGTAAAAAATATTCATGTCATAATCCTTGAGTAATTCGAACTACTTACTCTGTCTGAGATTGAGCTCTTTCTAATGAATATATATTGTATTCTCTTGTGATCAATGAATATATTAACATGAACACCATACAAGTAGAGACGCCATATATTCAAAGCAGATACTACAAAAGGTAACCCTAATTCATGGGTTAGGTAATTCCTTTCATGAACCTTCAACTGTCTGGAGGCAAAAGCTATAACCTTGCCATTCTGCATTAACACAAAACCCAACCCAACTCTAGATGCATTATAATACACCAAAAAACATTGAGTACCCTCTGTGTTGACACCCAATTTTGACCCTCTCCGACACAAGTTAATTGACGAGCTTCTTATTTTCCAGCATTTTAAAATAATTAGTTTTATAAATTTAAGAAAATATAAAGTTTGCATTATTTTGAATAGTTTTGCCATTTCTTATAATTTTTATTTACATAATTTTGTATATAATTAGTATATTTTATGATTAGATCCTAGTTTTAATAGAATATTTCGATAACTAGTGTGGTTTAAATAATTACTTATATTTTTTTGTTAATCATTTATAGTTAAATTAATTATTTATTTTGTTAAACTTAAGAAGCTTGTTAATTAGGTATATTAATTCGTCTTATTTTAAAATTTAATCAAATTGGCCAATTACAATTTAATTTGGCTAAATTTGTAATATTCTTAACTAAAAGACCAAGATTGGGGCCTTTCTTCAGATTTTCACTAACCCCAGACCCTATTCCTCTCCTTAACAATTTTCAGCAAGTCCCAATTCCCAGCCATTTTCATAAAAATGCAGCCCCACTCCAATTTCCATTTAACTCAGGTCCAATTCCAATCAACAGCAACCCACCGCTCGATCCGACCTGGCCTCATTCTTCATCTCCTCCATCGAATTAGAGGCGAGTACAATTTAAAAAAGCAAAGTATACAACAGCAACATCAGTGTGTCTACAGCCAATCCAACGATACCCTCCGTGCGTGGGCTATACAACACGTCCCAACGTCTCCATCCCTTTTCTACTCTCTCCAGCTTTACCCGTACAACATCCATGCCAGACGCGTTTCGTACTTGACAAGTTAAGATGACTATACATCGCCTGCCTAGTACGAGGAAGCGATCTCAACCCTCCACATCGTATGCTATCTGTTCAAAAATCACTCCAAATCAAAAGATATTTGGCTTTCGGGGATAAGATTTTTTTTTGAAATTGAAATTGGCCCTGGGTATAAATCCGAACTCGATCTATCTTTTCCTCAGTGGAGAACCCTAGTTGTGCTTATATAATGTATGGTTTTTTTCTATAGAGGGGGGGGGGATTTTTTCTTTCGGTTTACTTCAGAAAGATTACTGAGAATTAGTGAACATTCATATATATATATATATACACACACACTCTCCAACAGGAAGTTCTTGAATCGTTGTCGTTCATTCCTAGCTCCTCTTTGATTTGCCTTAAGTCGTTCAAGGTCTTAGAATCATATTCGGTGGTGGTGAAGTTTCTCTCGCTCGCCTCGTGTCAGGTCGTTGTCTGGAAAAGGTAATCTTTCCACCTTAATAACTTCTTCATTTCATCGATTTTGAATGGATGTTTGGAAAACTATGAAATCTCTGTTTTGGTTTGGATGATGTTGTTAGGGATTGAATTTTGATGACTTCATTTGTTATTAATATACTCTTAATGGATATATCAATCTAGTTTCAACACCGTTACCAAACAATTATCATGCAGAGTTTATTGTTTGTTCGTTTCTATATTCAAGCTTGCTTGTTTTGGTTATGTCTTATTTCGAATAAAAACACCAATCTTGCAGACATGCTCTTTTGATTTTATTCTAATCGAGTCCAGTTCTGACCATGAGTGCAATTTAAGTTCATTTAATTTTCTTAGATTGTATTTAGTGTCAATGTTTTTTTTATTTTGGCTCATGTCGAGTTTGATTTTTTAATTTGAATATCGATTACCTCCTACCTCCCGACCCTCATGGCTTAAGATGCATATTTGTTTGGTTTCGAACCATTGGTATTAGCTTATCCTAGCTTATTTTAAGGTTAGAAGTTGTAATCTGTCCATTTTAATGGTTTGTTTATTGCCAAATATGTCGTAGTCATGATTTATCTAGTCGGATAAAATATCGGTTTATCTAGTCTTAATTCCCTGTTAGTTTTATGATCAAATGCTTGCTTCATGCCTATTATAAGCACTGTTTAGACTTATTGTCAAGTATCGATCTATAATGTGCGCCATGTCAAACACAATTTAGTGAATGGGTCATTCGGAGTTCATATTCGAATTACTTCGAGCTGATATTTTCTCAAGGATGAATGCGTAATTTAATCTATAAGCTTCGTTTCCTTTCCTTCAATTTATTTAGAAAAGGGTTTCCATGTTTATAATCAGATAAGACTATATAATGCTATTGAGTTATCTAGTTGGCCTTTTGCTTTCCAAAATTATGGAATTGTCTTAGTAGTCATTTTGGCTTACATATCTTAACTATCTAGTGGCAGAATCTGCACCTTATTTGGTGCATTTGATTAATTTTGTGACTAGCATATTAACATCTTTCTGTTAGGTCCCGTGGGTTTTATTAAAAAAAATAAAAGTTAAAATGGTGTCTTATTCTAGTATCCTTAATTCCTATCTTTGTTCATGTTATGTGATATGTGTTGTTGTGGCATATGTTGAGGTGACGGATTTACTTTTTCTCCATGTTTTTGTGCTCGCAATTTGGTTTCCAACGACTCATTTGATTTTATATTATTTTCTCTTCTCAGAGTGTATCTCTCTGTTTATCAAACTTTAGCGGACATTATTTATTTAAATCTAATATGTTTGAATATGAAAATTATTCCATGGTGTCGATCCCTTGTTTGATTATATGAAATGTGCGGTTTTGAGACATTAACCACAAGGTTTCTTTTCTTTAAATTAATGCATGTTCGCCCTGGTAATTATTCTCTGATATGCCTACCGTAATACCCCTGGTATGATATTATTCTGTGTATCATTCTATTTTTGTTCGGAATCATTGCCAAAACATAACAATAATATATAAAACATGTATGTTAATCTATCTCTATTAGTCATTGTGTCAAGTTGGTGTTTATTTGCTTTTTTTTAAAAAAAATCAAATTTGTCAAGTGACTTGTCCTTATTATTTAATGCTTATAATCTCTCTATTCAACACCTTTTTCTAATATGCAATTCTATGATGGGGTATTATAATTCATCGGATAGTTTCGAATTTGGGTGAACGTGCATGTTTTGACTCCCTAAAATAGGACTCTTAAGTCAATTTGCATTTTTCTTGAATCAAAACTTACTTTGATGCTGTACTAGAGTGACGTACTGCCTGGTGTTTATATTAGTTGTACCATACATTAACTCTTTTTTCCCATTTATATGCATATTAAATCTACCTGATTTCGCTAAGAACTCGTTCTTTCCTTGCATTCTAAGAGAGCTATAAATACTCAAATCCTCTCGTTCGAGTCAAAATATAATCGACGGATTGGTCCCGAAGTTTAAAGAGTTGAAGGAAGTCAAAGAAGCGGGATTAGAAGATCTTTTCTTATTATTTTTGTTAAGTATTGTAATTATTCTAGGCCTAAGCCCTTGTCATTTTTTTTAAATTTATTTTGTATTAATTATTTGCTTAGTCTAGGACAGGTACGAAAGAAACAAAATGGGTCAAAAATCCAAAAAGTCAAAATGGGTCAAAAAACCCAAAACAGGTGGATCCAAAAAACAATCAAGGTGAACAGAACCCGGATTTGGACCCAAAACCAAAAATTAAGCATTAGCCTAAGACGACTTAATACCCAAGATGTATTAAGTCCATTTAGTAGAATACCACCAAAACTGTATCTAAGGTCTTTGACCTCACGAGACATCATTTTATGTGACATTTGAATGATGTACGTGTGAAAACCAATTTGGGGTGGGTAAAACTAACTAGCTTCTGTTTTGTAGATATGGATCGTTTCCCAAATATTGATATGGTCATAGTTGCGCCACCTTAACTCAAAATGTGGCATGACAATCTCGACGGGGATCATAGAAGAACCCTAAAAATGTAGATGCTCTTACAGAATTGATCAACATGAACGGTTGGCCGGAATCGGTTGAGGTCCATAGAGGCTATTGGGATAGCCAATGATTGGTGTTCCAATTTGGAACCGCTGAAATCACCCCGACTTCGGAGGAAATCCGAGACGGCATAGACATGGTAGGCACTAGGATACAAAGGAAAGAAAGAAAATAAGAAGACATCTTTATCCCTAATAAACCTTTTGTAGAAAATATTGCTGACTGGTTTGGGTTGGAGAAAGACTTTGCCTACTGGTGCCATGAATCCTATGTAGCGTTAAGAGATCTTTATATCCTATTTGGACATGGGATCTTCTACACCACTTACAACCGAGAATTTAAGATCTCCTAATAGAGACTGGAATGAAATCCGTCCTCTAGCATTTGTTGCAGTGTTGTTGGGAACAATGATAATTCCACATGGTCCAAGTCTGAGTATCAATAATCGAGTTATAATACTCGCGCATACCTTGTTCAAAGGGTATCAGAACCAAGGGACAACAAAGTACTATTCTATAGCTCCGGTTATCATGTCTGATATGTATCGAGCCCTGGGAAAATGCAAAGAGGGGCATCGGTACTTCCAAGGATGAACCTTGCTCCTTTAGTGATAGATCCTTAGCCATTTAGTGAAGAGTGTTGGGACTCGAGAGCTACATACTCTTGACAACAAGAAAACCCTTAAAGATTTGAATGACTTGTTGTACTGGGTGAATATGGACAATCGGAGAACAAGGGGGAGATGGGCTCAGATTCTCTCTGAACTAAAAGAAGAATATCTCCAATAGATGCTTGACTGTTTCATCTCCAAAGAAGTCTTCGTGGAGAGTCGCAGACAGATTGTGCTTCCTCTACTAGGTATTCGTGAATTCGCCCTTATGCACCTTTTTGAGTTTTGTGATAGTTTGTGAGGAGACAAACTGTACCCAAAGAGGCGTACTATGGCGCTTATGTATACGATATTGGAGATGATAGAGTACCCGACACGTCTAAAATATTCAGAGAATGGAAAAGTGCCAAGCGTATGGATAAAGACACCATCACCCTTGACCAATTTGATACTGGATATGACAAGGGCTACAAGAATAGTTGAAGAAGGACATACAAAGCGTCTCCTCCCAAGCCCCGCGCAGCTTTCGCGGTGTAACGAACAGAGAAGCCAAATATTGGCCGAGATACAAGAGGTAAAGAAAGAGGCCCACGTAGTGTACGCTAAGTTTTTGAGAACTAAGATACTCTTGAGAAGGCAACCAAAGAGATGAAAAGACTAAGGCGTGGTTATGATGATTTCGATACCCGGGTCAAGGATAATATTGTGAGGATGCGATACGAAAGCTTAGAAGACAAAGAATGCCTGAGTGAAGGATTCTTGCTGATGCTAAGATATATGTTTCAATAATATAATACTTAGGAGAACAACGATGGAGCAGGTCCATTTGGAGCAGCATAGCACTACTTCGCTCCTACGTGAGTTTTTATATGTATTTACGTTGTTTTTAGCCCTGCGTGGGCTTTCGTTTATTGCACTTTCAAATGGACCCTGCTTGGGTTTGTTTTGATGTTTATCCTTTATTCTCCCCTTTGTGAACATTATTATTCACTTGTGAAATTCATTTTGGGGGGAATTGTTTATTTAGTTCAAATTCATGCGTACATCATTTAAATGCGTTAGGCCTACCCTTGACACAAAAGAGGTCCCTCTGTATGTGTTAGGACGCGATGTATGTGTGTTTAACTGCTTATGTGTTATGCTGGTATGAATTAGGATATCATAAACCCACTCCTATCCAGAAATTTCCAAAATAATCTACAGAAGTCACTATCACCAAATGTCCGACAAAAATTTCTAAGTCTTATGTTTCTCGCTCAAAAGACCTCTTCCTATACCACAAATCCTAAAAAACTATTCTACCGTCTCAGGAAAGGCAAAAAATCACTTCTATGGACAAGGGTAAGAACATCCAAATGGAACTCACTGGAGAAGAACTACAAATAAATATCGAACAGATCACTCGGGAAATTCAAGAAGCCAAACAGGAAGGGCTCAGAGTTGACATGGCCACCGCAATCTAACAAGCTGCAACCCTGACGCTGGATGAGGATCTAGCATCACAGATGAAGAGAAATATAGATTTTGAGATGGATACAGAGGACTTGCGAGAGAAGTTAGACATGCTTTGGTTGAAAGTGCAAGAAAGAGAAGCGAGGATAGAATCGGAGATTGCCGCTCTGTTAGCTAAAAGCATGTCATCAAAGAGAAGCGAGGATAGAATCGGAGACTACCGCTCTGTTAGCTAAAAGAATGTCACTTGATGAAGAACTGACAATGTAAATGGAAGAATTCACCTTTATGAAAGAAAGGTTGGACGCACTGAGGAAGAAGAACAAATCCTTCTATAACAGTATGATTGATAAACTTCAGAAAAAATGCGTAAAAAATATCCCGTCTACGAGCAAAGAGCTAATAATGTTGCCGATAACGCTCACCCTAAAGCGATTGGGGAAGACGATGACAAGGAAATCATGTACAAACCTCCATTCCTAGGCCGTCTAAAAAGAGGAGACTAACGCTGCAACAGAAGGGAAATGACTAACGTATTTATATTTTAAAAGCTCTATTGTTGCCTTTCAATTTCCTTGTAATAGTAATGAATGAATGAATGAAAATTTTTATCTTGTACTCAAACAACGTTGGGTCTGAATTCTCCTTGCGAGATACGTAGGCAGCCTCTCAAGGACCGGCCCCTATCTTTAAATTTTTTTAATTCTCCCCCTTTATGTTACGAGAAGATACGAAGGCCAAGTCAACGGATGTCAAAGAGTAGCTGCAAGAAGACCTTAGCTCAACGCGATTTAGCCTTTCGGAGACAGTGTCAAAACTAAAACAAGCAAACTCCTGCTTGTTAGAAAAATGCGTTTCCATCCTTACTCGTGAGTTGAAGATATTCTCAAACAAAGCAACTTGTGTGTTTATCTGCTCTCCATGGGATATTATGCATTTTTTTATTCTTAATTTGCACTGACAAATCTACCTTTGAGTTGTTTTCCTTCTCAAGTACTTTGAAACTGATTTGTATTGATCAAAACCTGGCAGATCATCACTATTTCACCATATCAAAAGGTCCCGCAGATTCTTTCCCTAGAAAAAGCTCAGACAATGAAAAGACTGTTCTGGGGGATAATAACGAAGAAGTAAGTCCTACTGATGTTTTGGTGGCTCAACCCACCATAGAGGACAAGAATGAGTTGATTCTGCAGCTGATGCAATAAATTGTAGAGATGAGGGTAGAGATGCAAAGGAGACAGGATCTGCCTACGCTAGGGTTTGCTGCTAACGCTGCTGATGGGAGACCTCCAATCTACTTCCCTTCATCAAATATGGATCCAGCTCAGAACCAACCATGTACACCTTCTCAGAATCTATCAGTTATAGATCTGACTACCCAAAATCCCTATATGCTTTCACATCCTACCAAACCCCACCTCTTTCTCAAAACAACCACCCCCAAATGCCACCCCATTCTCAATTCCCACCATCTAACCGCTCCACCACCACAAAATCAAAACCAAAATACTTTCAATCCACAAATACCCCACCACCACTTAAATTAGAATACCAATCCACAAAATTACCAACAAAATTATCAAACTGCTCAAAATACTCAGAGTCCCTCTGTAGCTCCTCCTTTACTCAAAAGAACCACTTTCCAAATTCCCGTCCCTGCCAAGCACGATGTGCACGGTTCTGAGATGGACCATTATGAGGAATAGGAAAGGGAGTGGAGGGCAAAGGAAGAGACAAAAGTTGACATAAAATAAGAGAACAAAAAGGCTATGAAGGAGCTCCAATGCATACCTAATATCGCCGGGCTTAGTTATGAAGACTTCTGTATTTATCCAAATTTTGACCTCCCAAAAGCTTTCAAAATCCCTAAATTTGATACTTTCAGAGGAGTGGGGAACCCTATGGCTCATTTGAGAGCCTACTGCGACCAGCTTGTTGGAGTTGGTAGGGACGAAGCTTATGGATGTGGCTCTTTAGCTGACGCTTGTGTGGAGAAGCTCTTGAATGTTTCACCTCGCATGAAACCAGGCAATGGATCAGCTGGATTGCATTGGCCAAAGATTTTATCGATCAATTCATTTACAACGTAGAAATTGTTCCAGATCGATACTCTTTGGAAAAGACAAAACAAAATCATCCGAGAGCTATAGGGAGTTTGCCTATAGGTGGAGAAAAGAAGAGGCGAGGGTGAGACCACCTATGTATGAAAACGAAATTGTGAAGTGTTTCTGTGGGTGTAAGAGCTCGACTATTATGATTTAATCTTGTTGCTCGCAGGAGCAAAATTTACCGAGATAGTCAAAGTTTGTGAGACTATCAAAGACGGGTTTAAAATGGGGAAGATAGCCCGTGCTGCTGCATCGCTCGTATTATCAGGAACGTTGAAGAAGAAAAGAGAAGAAATCAATGTTGGTTCATATGGGAGAAGGAAAACTCCCAGAATCTCATCATAATCCTAAGGTCATTCTCGACCTTCTCAAAGTTCCTACTAAGCTTGCTACAGGCAAGCTAGTCATCCCAATAATCCTCAAGTTTATCAGAATGCTACCTCCACTTATCCAAACATCCAAGCTCCACTATACCAAAGTTCACCCCCCAATTACCAAAATCTATATCCCATTTACCCAAATCATCCTCCACCCTACCAAATTCCATCTCCCTACCAGGGTGTTGCTCCAAACTATGCTAACGTGCAGTCGAGCTATTGAGCACCCCCTCGATCTTATCAAATCCAAGCTCCACCATATAAAAATCCCCATCCGAACTACCAAGATCCAATGCCAAACTACCAGACAAACTCATATCCTAGAAATCAAGCTCCCTGTTCTGAACAATCAAGGTTATCAACAGATGCCTCCCCACAAGGAAGTTATGATCCCCCTTGACCCTGGTTCGAGAAGAAACCTTCGAGGAATTTTACCACGCTCGTAGAAAGCCAAAAAAGCATTACGAGTGACTGGACACGACCGTATATATCCACCTTGTGGGGCCCAAACCCGTGGATATCAATTCGATGTTCTATAGGCCAGATCAGAGATGTTCCTATCATTCTAATAGTGTTGGGCATGATACTGAGGACTGTATCAACCTCAAGCATAATGTTAAGTATTTAATTGACCAAGAGGTGATTTCTCTCCAACCAGCTGCACCTAATGTCAATACCAATCCTTTGCTGAATCATGGAGGCGGAAACGTCAGTATGATAGAAACAGTCGATGATTGGTATGAGAGGAAAGTGATAACCCCAATCGTTCATGACGAGTTGGAAAAGGCTGTAGCTTCCTTGAGCATCAAAGGGAAAAAAGAGTTTGTTATCTTGACACCCGCAAAGGTTGTTGCCTTGGTGCCATTAAGAACTCTTATGAAGCCAATATTTGTGATTAAGACTGCTTCTGCACAGGGTATGACCCGATCTGGAAGGTGTTATACTTTTGAAGAGCTGGATCTCGGAGGTTAAAAGAAGGATCAAGCTAAAAGGACAATAAGCAAGGGTGAGGCAGAGGAACTCTTTAAAAGAATGCAGCCAAAAGATTATTCTATTGTCAAGCATTTGGAGAAGACTGCAACTCAGATTTCTGTGTGGGTCCTACTGATGAGTTCTCAAATTGCATAGGCATGCTTTGATGAAGGCTCTTGATGATACATATGTTCCCGTCACCATAAGTAGTGATAATGTGACCGCTATGATTAACCATGTTATCCAAGGGCATCATATTAGTTTCTGCGACGATGAGTTCCCTTTTGAAGGGAGGTCACACAAGATGGAGTTGCACATTACTGTCGTATGCCGTGAGAAAGTGGTAAATTGCGTTTTAGTGGATGATGGATCTGGTCTAAATATTTGCCCATTGTCGACACTTAGGAACTTAAGGTTTGACCTTGGGAAACTGGAACAAAACCAAGTCAATGTAAGAGCCTTTGATGGGGTTTAGAGAGATACATTGGGAGCGATGTATCTGATCATCCAAATGGGTCTGATAGAATTCAGTACACAACTTTAAGTCTCGGACATCGATACCAGCTATAACCTTCTTCTAGGAAGGCCTTTTATTTACATGGCTAGAGTTGTGCCTTCTACACTGTATCTGATGATGAAACTCGTTTGGAAGTATGAAGAGCTAGTAATTCATGGCAAAGGTAATCATTTTGGCAGATAGTCGCCGATTATGGATGAAGTGTCTTGAGGTACTGATTTCTACACGGTGGAGCTGGTAAATGCCACCGGTGAATACTTGTCCCCACAGCCTCTCATGACTTCTGTGTATAAGATGATTGCTACTGTTATGTTGCAAAGTGGATTTGAAGCAGGTTTCGGATACGGAAGGAATTCCCTACAAATTGTTGAGCCCATTTAAGTTCCCATCAAAGGAGAAAGGTATGGCTTGGGGTACATCCCCACAGATGAGGAAGAGAAGACAATGAAAAAGAAAGATCAAGCATTGACCAAGCCAATCCCTCATCTATACCAGTCCGTGAATATTCCGAGTAGGAGGACCTTGGAGAAGGAATCTGTGGACTTCTTGAAGAGATTGATGCTATCATTGAAGAAGAGGTCGAGCTGACAGGATTCCCTAATGCTAAGACATGAGAGATGCAGCAGAACTGGACCTCCACGCCCATCCTGATCTCCTGAACTCCTTGGTAGAAGGGAATCATTTTATGCATATTTAAATCGGTGATAGTCAGAAAGAGGCCCGATACCCACCATTTTGCATTTTTCTTCGCTGTTTGAATTTTGAATTTCCATCATGATGTTCAAAGAAGGAAACATGGCCCTATGCCATGTCCAAAGTTTTCATTGTTTTCCAATTTGAATGAAAGCCTCTTTTATTGTTAAAATTTATTTATTTACTCATTAGTTATACTTTGATTTTCTAACTTTGTTTGTTTATGGCTTCAGTAATATAAGTTTTAAACCTGCCAATGTCATGTCATGTCACGAGCTAAATAAGCAAATTGAGGTAGGTGATGACGACATTGATGATTACGAAGAAGAAGGTGAGGAACCAGAGTGTGTTGCCAAGGAATTTTGGCAGTTTGAAAACTAGCATAAGCAATAATCTAGAGGAGACAAAAATTGTAAATCTGGGAGACCCAGAGTGCGTTAAAGAGATTAAAATCAGCATTCACTTAAATGAAGCTCAAAGAAAAGACCTAATTCATTTGATTGCTGGATATGTTGATGTGTTCGTCTTGATAGTCCGTGACATGCAAGGGCTGAGTACCGATGTTGTATCTCATAAACTGCCGATTAATTTGGGGTTCAATCCAGTGAAGTAAAAGGCTCAAAAGTTCAAGCCTGAATTGAGTATAATGATCAAAGAAGAGATCACCAGCAGATCGAGTCTCAATTGGTGGAAGTTACACAATACCCGACTTGGTTAGCCAATATTGTTCTAGTTGCCAAGAAAGACGAGACAATCAGGATTTGTGTCGACTATATAGATCTCAACAAAGGTAGCCCGAAGGATAGTTTTCCATTGCCAAATATTCATATTTTGATTGATAACTGTGTTTAGCATGAAATGAAATCATTTGTGGACTGTTACGCAGGTTATCATATATAAAAGACAGCTTTCGTTACACCTTGAAGTATATATCACTACAAGGTGATGCCATTTGGCCTCAAGAATGCTGGTGCGACTTAGATGAGGGCTACGACGATTATATTTCATGATATGATTCATAGAGATATCGAAGTGTACGTAGTTAACGTCATAATCATGTTCTGCAAAAGTTTGGACCACTTGACACATCTAAGGAAATTCTTTGACCATTTGCGTCGTTACAACTTGAGGTTAAATCTAGCCAAATGCGCTTTTGGAGTTCCAGAATGTTGTTGGGATTTATAGTCAGCAGAAGGGGTATTAAGCTCAATCCTTCTAAGATTAAAGCAATTCAAGAGTAACTTCTGCCAATGATGAGAAAAGCGGCGATAAGTTTCTTAGGGAGGTTGAGCTACATCAGTCGATTCATCGCTCAATAAACCGTAGTGTGTGAGCCTATCTTCAAGCTGTTGAAGAAAGACGCTCCCAAAAAGTGGACTGAAGAGTGTCAGATTGCTTTCGACGCTATCAAGAACTATTTTTCAAATCCACCAGTATTGGTTCCTCCACAAGAAGGGAGTCCTTTGTTGTTGTATTTGTCCGTCTCTGATAGCGCATTCGGATGCGTACTCGATCAACACAACGAGACAGGAAAGAAGGAAAGACCTGTCTATTACATTAGCAAGAAATTTACTCCATACGAGTCTCGTTACACTCTATTGGAGAGAACATGTTGTGTTCTGACTTGGATTTCTCAGAAGTTAAGGCATTACTTGTCTTCCTACACTACATATCTCATTTCCAGAATAGATCCATTGAGTATAGTTCCAAAAAGCGATGCCGATCAGAAAGTTAGCTAAGTGGAATTTTTTTTTGAGTGAGTTTGATATTGTGTATGTGACTCAAAAGGCGATAAAAGCACAAGCCTTGGATGATCATCTTGCAGAAAATCCTATTGATGGACGTATGAACCACTCAAGACTTATTTTCACGATGAAGAAATGTCATTTGTGGGTTAAGATATTTCTGAAGCATATCCAAGTTAGTGACTATTCCTCGATGGAGAGGCAAATCATCAATGGAAAGGCATCAAAGCGGTCCTAGTTTTAGAATCTGGTCAATAATATACTATGGCAGCTAAGATCCAATTTATTTGTACAAACAACATAACCGAATATGAAGCTTGTATCCTTGGGTTGAAAATGACCATTGACATGAATGTTCACAAGCTATTGTCTATTGGAGACTCACATTCGTTGATTCATCAGGTTCAGGGAGAATGGGCTGTGAAGAACCCAAAGATTATACCTTATGTACAGTATGTACATAAGTTGTGAAAAAGATTTCACAAGATCGAGTTCAAACATACTCCCAGAATACAAAATGAGTTGGCTGATGCTCTCTCCACCATCGCTTCTATGATTAAGCATCCAGATACTGATTATATTGATCCTCTGGATATAGATATGAAAGAACATAAAGTCCATTGTTCACATGTTAGGGAAGAACCAGACAGTTTGCCATTGTATTTCGATATAAAGAAATATTTGGAGTTCGTAAATTATCTTAAAGATGCTACATCCAACCAAAATAAGTCGATACGCCGTATGGCTCTAAATTTCTTTCTAAGTGGACATGTACTTTATAAGAGGACTACAGACTTGGGTATTCTCAGATGTGTCGATGCTGTGGAAGCTTCGAAGATTATCGAACATATACATGCTGGAGTTCGTGGCACACATTATGCATGGGCTTACTTTTGCAAGAAAGATCCTTCGATTTGGGTATTACTGAATGACTATGGAGAATGATTGTTGCAAGTTTGTGCAAAAATGTCATAAATGTCAAGTGCACGGTGATTTGACCTAAGTGTCACCTCATGAACTTAATGATATGAGTTCACCTTGGCTATTTGTAGCTTGGGGTATGGATGTCATCAGTCCGATAGATCCAGCCGCTTCAAATGGACACAGATTCATTCTTGTTTCCATTTATTACTTTACCAAGTAGGTGGAAGCATCTTCTTACAAGTCGGTGACCAAAAAAGTTGTAGCTGATTTTGTTCGTAACAATTTGATATGCAAGTTTGGAGTACCAGAATCGATCATTACTGACAATGGTGCAAATCTCAAAAGTCACTTGATGAGAGATATATGTAATCAATTTAAGATTACTCAACGAAACTTAACCGTTTATCGTCCCCTAATGAATGGAGCTGTAGAGGCCGCCAATAAGAATATCAAGAATATTTTGAGGAAAATGATTGACAAGCATCAAGGTTGGCATGAGATGTTACCATATGCTTTATTGGTGTACCGCACGACGGCCACAACGTCGATTGGAGCAACTCCATACTTGCTAGTGTATAGAACAGAAGCACTCATACCTGTTGAAGTTGAAATACCTTCATTAAGAATCATCCAAGAAACTGAGTTGAGGAATGTTGATTGGGTGAGTAAGAGAAATGATCAGTTGACATTGACTGATGAGAAGAGAATGGTTGTCATTTGTCATGGTCAGTTGTATTGACAGAGAATGACTCGTGCTTTTCACAAGAGATTAAGAGCCAAAATTTTCAAAGTTGGTCAGCTGGCCCTTAAGCGCATTTTTCCTCATCAAGAGGAATATAAAGGAAAATTCGCGCCAAATTGTAAAGGACCCTACATGGTTCATAAAGTATTATGTGGAGGTGCTTTGGTCTGGTCAGATAAGGATGGAACCGCATGGCCGAAACCTTTCAACTCAGATGGTGTCAGGAGATACTACGTGTGAAGCTTCGGTTCGCATTTTTGTTATTTACTTTTAATCATTCTATTTGCTTGTATTTTCTTTGCTTATATTTTTATCCCTCTTTGTAATGAACTACATGTGACCCGAATTCTCAAGAATGAAATACGTAGGCGGCCTATGTCTGCCTCGATCATCCAATTTATCCCCTTTAAGTATTTCTTTGTATTTGAACTACGTTCGACCTGAATTCTCAAGAATGAGATACGTAGGCGGCCTATGTCAGCCTCGGTCGATTTTCTTTGTAAACTTCTTATGTTGTTAGCCTTGAGAAAAACTACGTTTGACCTGATTCATGCCTCAATGAGATACGTAGGAGCCACAAGATTTTGGTCATTTTTCCCGTAAGATTTCTATTCCTCCTTACAATAGAAACTGGGACAGAATTTTTGAGAGGGACTCAAAAATTCTCAGGGAGAAGATTTCTCCTCAACAAGTCCAGACTGCAGATATTTCAAGACTTGCAACTGGGACAACATTTTTGAGAGGATCTTAAGAATTCTATGATTTAATCAGTGACAGTCGAAGCGATACAGGTTTATAGCTTTACTCTAAAATCAGCACACTCTTCCGATGGATGAATATGGAGAAGTCAAAGGAGGAGAAAGCTATCCCAAAATCAATAGTTTTCTTAGAAGCAGGAATCATTTTATATCGCTTATGTCAGAGACTCGAGAATATGAATTGTTTATTTCAATCAATTTCCTACAACATGATATTTATAAAGAACGTCCAACTAGATTCGAAGGTGAATTAAGCAAAAATCTCAAGGAAGAGTTTACGGTTTCTGTAAAGGACGTCATTTGCATCATAATTTCGTATATGATATTATGCATCATCCGAAGGGATCAGTTATTTTATTGTTGATCAAGACAATATACTATCTGGAAGTCGTTTTATATATATGATCATTGGAGACGATATGATTATTAAGAAAACACACAGAAGATCACTTTGTTGCTCGATGGAAGCACTATTTTCATTTAGTACCAAGGATGACATCAAGAGTTAATATCTTTACATCGGAGGAAAATATTCATCCCCCGCGGAAGATCATTCATCGCGAGTCAATATCCATGCATCGCGGAAGATCATGCATAACGAGTCAATATCCATGCATCTCAGAAGATCATGCATTGCGAGTCAATATCCATGCATCGCGAAAAATCATGCATCGCGAGTCAATATCCATGCATCGCGAAAAAACATGCATCGCGAGTCAATATTCATGCATCGCGGAAGATCATGTATCACGAGTTAATATCCAAGCATCGCGAGAATATTTCATACTTCGCAGAAATTTATGCATTGCGAGAAGATTTCATACCTTGAAGAAATTTATGCATCACGAAAAAATTTAATACCTCGCAGAAATTTATGCATCGCGAAAAGATTTCATACCTTGCAGAAATTTGTGCATCACGAGAAGATTCTATGCCTCGTTGAAATTTATGCATCGCGAGAAGATTTCATACCTCTCAGAAATTTATGCATCGCGACAAAATTTCATACCTCGCAGAAATTTATGCATCATGAGAAGATTCCATGCCTCGTTGAAATTTATGCACCGTGACAGGATTTCATGCCTCGTAGAAAAGTTATGCATCGTGAGAAGATTTCATGCCTCGCAGAAATTTACGCATCGCGGATAGATACTCATGCCCCGCAAAAAGTCATGCACTGCCAAAGAAGGAATCGTGCATCTCAAGAGATATATTTACCCCTAAACGATGACTGCCTTCTTTTATTTTGATAAAAGTAAACCGTCCAAGACAACATCAAGATAAATATCAACACTGCATCAACATTTACTTATTTTGACATCAAATCAAGAGTACATTGAAGATTATATTGCAAACATAAGACATAATCTTTATTTGCTTTATGTCAAACCAATCGAGTTGACGTCAAAATGTCGAGGAAAATGATTAAGTGTCAACAGGGTAAAAGGCACTGTCTCCTATTTAAATTGTATTCTTATGCTGACAAGTTTTATCTCAGTCTTTGTTGAGAGCATCCGAAAGGATGAATTCTCCAAAAAAAAAAAACCACCGGTGCGGACGACATATAAAAGGATACAACCCAACGTGGAACTTTTTCTTAGCAGCAAACTAGGACATAGTCCAAACAGGAGTTTCAAACTCTTAGGACGCGAGTAGAGGAGCAAATTCCACCACAATCAAACTACACCACTATCAGAAGGTAGTGGGTCTTCCTTTAGATTTCTCAGTTTCAGTCTAGCGTACAGAAATTTCGATCTTCCGGAGACAAATTTCCAATCTGAATGACAATGAGCCAAAAGCTTTGGAAATTATATCCATGTAAGTTCTTAATTATCGGTGTGAAGTGCACCACATTCATGACTAAGAGATTACAAGCCTATTTTCCATACTCGATCTGTTTGTCTCTTGTCCAGAACCAAAGGTTATCTAGCATAATAAATTTTCTTTTCAACCGATCGAGTCGAACTACAAACATCCTATTTCCTAAGGTTTAAGGATACATAGGCGGGGTTCAATGCTGAAAACTTGGTAGTGTTCTGAGAATTGCCCGTAAATCATATCCTGAGCGTTTCGATCCTTTCATAATTCTGTATCAAAATGACTTTTTGATTCTTTTAAAATCATGCGTTAAATCAAGCGTATCAAACTACAAGTGGCCTGAATTATCATATAGCCTGAGATATGTAGGAAACCCATTTTCAGGGTTCGACCATAATTGCTAACGACCGTACCAAAATCCCTTTTCTAAAAGATGAAGTTGAGGTCGGTCGAAATTGGCTTGGTCAATTCATTTTCCTCGAATTTCTTGCATCGATCCAAGTAAAATAAGGGATAGTTATTGAAACCCAATTTTGACCCTCCCCAACACAAGTTAATTAATGAGCTTCTTTAATCCTAACATTTTAAAATAATTAGTTTTATAAATTTAAGAATATATATATGTGTGTGTGTGTGTGTGTGTGTGTGTGTGTGTGTGTGTATATATATATATATATATATATATATATATATATATATATATATATATATATATATATATATATATATATATATATATATATAATATCTGAGTGACAATGAGCCAAAAGCTTTGAAAATTATGTCCATGTAAGTTCTTAATTATGGATGTGAAGTGCACCACATTCATGACTAAGAGATTACAAGCCTATTTTCCATACTCGATCTGTTTGTCTCTTGTCCAGAACCAGAGGTTATCTAGCATAATAGATTTCCTTTTCAATCGATCGAGTCGAACTACAAACAGCCTGTTTCATAAGGTTTAAGGATACATAGGCGGGGTTCAATGCTGAAAACTTGGTAGTGTTCCGAGAATTGCTCGTAAATCATACCCTGAGCGTTTTGATCCTTTCATAATTTTGTATCAAAATGACTTTTTGATTCTTTTAAAATCATGTGTTAAATCAAGCGTATCAAACTACAAGTGGCCTGAATTATCATATAACTTGAGATATGTAGGAAACCCATTTTCAGGATTCGACCATAATTGCTAACGACCGTACCAAAATCCCTTTTCTAAAAGATGAAGTTGAGGTCGGTCGAAATTGGCTTGGTCAATTCATTTTCCTCGAAATTGGCTTGGTCAATTCAGAGTTCATATTCGAGTTACTTCGAGCTGATATTTTCTCAAGGATGAATGCGTATTTAATCTATAAGCTTCGTTTCCTTTCCTTCAATTTATTTAGATAAGGGTTGCCACGTTTATAATCAGATAAGACTATATAATGCTATTGAGTTATCTAGTTGGCCTTTTGCTTTCCAGAATTATGGAATTGTCTTAGTAGTCATTTTGGCTTACATATCTTAACTATCTAGTGGCAGAATCTGCACCTTATTTGGTGCATTTGATTTATTTTGTGACTAGCATATTAACATCTTTCTGTTAGGTCCCTTGGGTTTTATTAAAAAAAATAAAAGTTAATATGGTGTCTTATTTTAGTAATCACCTTAATTCCTATCTTTGTGCATGTTATGTGATATGTGTTGTTGTGGCATATGTTGAGGTGACGGATTTACTTTTTCTCCATGTTTTTGTGCTCGCAATTTGGTTTCCAACGACTCATTTGATTTTATATTATTTTCTCTTCTCATAGTGTATCTCTCTGTTTATCAAACTTTAGCGGACATTATTTATTTAAATCTAATATGTATGAATATGAAAATTATTCCATGGTGTCAATCCCTTGTTTGATTATATGAAATGTCAAGTTTTGAGTTTCTTAACATTAACCACAATGTTTCTTTTCTTTAAATTAATGCATGTTTGCCTTGCTAATTATTCTCTGATATGCAACGGTAAGACCCCTGGTATGACATTATTATGTGTATCATTCTATTTTTGTTCAGAATCATTGCCAAAATAAAATAATAATATGTAAAACATATATGTTAATCTATCTATATTAGTCACTGTGTCAAGTTGGTGTTTATTTGCTTTTTTTTACAACAAATTTGTCAAGTGACTTGTCCTTATTATTTAATGCTTATAATCTCTCTATTCAACACTTTTTTCTAATAAGCAATTCCTTGATGGGGTATTACAATTCATTCTCTTATAATGTCGAATTTGTGTGAACTTGCATGTTTTGAATCCCTAAAATAGGACTCTTAAGTCAATTTGCATTTTTCTTGAATCAATACTTACTTTGATGCTGTAGTAGAGTGACGTACTGCCTGGTGTTTATATTAGTTGAACCATACATTAACTCCTTTTCCCATTTTTTATGCATGAAAAATCTACCTGAGTTCGCCAAGAACTCGTTCTTTCCTTTCATTCTGAGAGAGATATAAAGGCTCAACTCCTCTCATTCAAGTCAAATCAAAATCGACGTATAGATCCCGATGTTTAAAGAATTTAAGGAAGTCGAAGAAGCGGGATTAGAAGATCTTTTCTTACTATTTTCGTTTTGTATTGTATCTATTTTCGGCCTAATCCCTCGTTTTTATTTATTTATTCTGTATTAA